TAACATGGTAGACTCCGGAAATCCGGATGTAATTATCATCACAGAGACATGGCTCACACCCGATGTCACTGACAACGAAGTTAACCTGTCAAACTTCGAAGTGCATAGGGTGAACCGACTAAACCGCAAAGCAGGTGGCGTAGTCATCTACCTCAAGAAATGCTTAACCGTGCGTAGTATCGAAGCACTCGCGAACTTCTACGCTGCAGACTTAAATGCATAGGCCAAGACATTGACCTCATTGCTATATACCGCAGTCCTGACTGCAGTGCAGACGACTTCCTAATAGAGAAGCTAGGCTCCTGGACTTCGAAATGTCGAAGTCTCGTAGTCGGCGACTTCAACGCCTCAACAGTTGACTGGACGAGCCTTACAACTCCATCTTCAGTCAACTCCTTTGATCATAAACTGCTGGAATCTAGTATATCGCTAGCCTTAGTCCAACATGTCATTAAGCCCACGCGTTATGACTCACAGCACTCCTCCTCAACTCTGGACCTAGTGTTCTTCCACCGTGAGGATGTGGATCTCATACAACATCTTCCTCCTTTAGGAAGAAGTGATCATGCTGTGCTCACTTTCAAGTTCACAGCAACAGCAGCAAGGGCCAAAACCCCAGCTCGACCAAACGTTTGAAAAGCTGATATAAATGCGATCGTCTCAGCAGCCAACTCAGTAAACTGGTACATCAACCCAGAGTCCCAAGTAGAAGCCTCATGGAACCAATTTAAGTAACTTTACGCCCAAGTAACTGAAACTTTTCATCCCTTGGTCTGTCCCAAAGGGTCAGAAACATTGCCCCCCTTGGATAAACCGAGTGATTCGTAAATTACTCAGACGTAAACACAAATGTTGGAACTTGTTTGCCACAATTGAGACTTCTGAGACCAGGAAATTATATAGCACTGCTAGGAATAAAGCTATTGCAGAAATCCGCCAATCGAGGATGAAGCTCGAAGCACATCTGGCTCAAAATGCAAAGGCACAACCCAAGAAAATTTTCTCGTACGTCAACTTCAGGAATAAAACATCCAATGGTGTCCCAAACCTGACTATTGACAATGACACAATCGAAGAAGATCAAGAAAAAGCAGAAGCAAGGGCAGACTACTTCTCCCAAGTCTTTACACAGGAGTCATCACTGCCTATAGGATCAGCTCTGGCTGCATCAGAGGAATACGGGGAAGATTCCGTTGACATCGACCAAGACATCGTGCTCAACTGCCTAAGGAAACTAGATGCAGGGAAATCAATGGGTCCTGATAATCTTCATCCAAGGCTTCTCAAGGAGCTATCAGCCCACATAGCCGGCCCTTTGACTACGATCTTCAATCTTTCTCTCCCAAATGGAGTGTTACCGCGTGACTGGAAAGACGCCATAGTAACCTCCATCCACAAAGGGGGATCAAAACAAAGCCCTTCAAATTACAGACCTATCAGTCTCACCAGCACTTTAATTAAGACACCGGAAAGAATCATCAAGAAAAGCATAATGGCATATCTAGAAAATAGAAGCTTATTATCAAGAGCACACCATGGATTCCGAAGGAACCTCTCACGCCTGTCAAACCTTCTCACTGCAAGAGAAAGCTGGGTTAAATCCAGGGACAACAGAAGACCCGTTGACGTCGTCTTCATAGACTTCAGCAAAGCCTTTGATAAAGTACCCCACAAAAGACTACTCATGAAGTTGGAAAGTCTTGGTATCAAAGGCAGCTTACTAAACTGGCTCAGGGAATTCCTCATAGGTAGGAGGCAGAGGGTTAGGATCAACTCGAAACTCTCCTCTTGGACAAAAGTATGCAGCGGAGTGCCACAAGGCACGGTACTCGGACCTCTCCTATTTATTTTGTATATCAATGAGTTATCTCTGCTCACCGACTCCCCTATGGTCCTATACGCAGATGACTTAAAAATTTGGAGAGAGCTGAAGGGCAACAGTGATACCTTCACGTTGCAAGAGGACCTCAACAAATTGTCAGAGTGGTCCATAGAATGGATGCTCCCGATAAATGTGGCAAAATGTGCAACCATGCGCATTGGACAAGCAAGCACGAGCTCCTACGAACTAGAGGGAATTACACTTCCATCAGTTCAGACTCACTTGGACTTAGGTGTCATAGTTAGTCACGACTTAAAAACTACAGCACACTGTCGCGCGGTGGCTGCACGTAGTTTCAGGTCATTATGGGCAATTCGTAGAGCCTTCACTAGAATCACCAGAGATATTTTCACCTCCTTATATACATCTCTGGTGAGGTCAAGACTGGAAAACTGCATCCAGGCCGCCAGCCCTTGTCTTAAAGGGGACTCACACATTCTAGAAAGGGTTCAGAGGAAGGCAACACGTATGGTTCTCAACATGACTAACTTATCATACGAGGAAAGACTAGACAGTTTAAATCTCTTCTCCTTGTCATACCGTAGGCAGAGAGGAGATTTAATCACAATGTTTAAAATTTTAAGTAATGACTACGTACCTGACCTATTTTCTCTTTTCCTTCTCACCAGGCCGGAACACCTTAGAGGACATAGCAGGAGAGTTCAAAATCCAAGAAGAAAACATATTGCTGTTGAGTTCTGGTTCTCACACCGAGTCATAAACTCTTGGAACCGACTCCCAGAAGAAGTGTTGTCTGCAACCTCAGCTGATTCGTTCAAAAAGGGTTTGGACAACAACAGAAATTTACTAGAAAAGGATTAACATAGGCTCCAAGCCTTCTATCCTCAAGCAATAAATCTGCATCTGAAAACAAAGCTATCTAATGAATGGATAAATGACCTTGAGCGACCAGCTAGATGTATCCATGGAGTGCAAGTGAAATTAGGGATGCCGCGCGCCAATAATCTAGCGAACTTCATCCAGATCTAGCATTTAATTGGCAGACTCGGTAGTAGGGAGAAAACTTGTGGATGTGGAGGTACAGTGCATTTGCAAAGGTGCACCCACTGCATTGATAGATTTGTCGACAGGTGCGAAGACTAGGAGTATATATATTTCACATAAATTAAGCATTTACATGATTAACATACCGTTTGTACCGGCATGATCATATTTGACAAGTGCAATTTGAAGTGGAACACTGTTTTTTGACATTGAAAATTGGAAAAATGGAAAAAATAACATCTAGAAACTTTGTTAGAATAGATTACAATATATTTGTTCAAGTCTAATTTATAGTCTACAATATTCTCATAGTCAGTCAAATTCATGCGGGAATTACGAAATGTTGCGTTAATGGAAGGTAAGAAGAGAGGTGATAAACAGGTGCTAGAGTAAGACATACAGGATAAAGGCCTTATGATCATCATTTTGTCAATTAATAAGGGTTCAAAAATTTAAAAAACTCCACAGTAGCGGGTAAGTACAGCATTATTTTGGTATTAACCACCGAAGCAGAAAGTAATTTCGAGAAGGCATGTCATTTCTTTTTGTTTGTGCGTGTTGTAGGTACATTCTCTGCTAGATCGAAGTAGCCTCTAAAGAAAATTATGATGTGTCAGATGCTTCCTGAAAAAACCATCGGGAGCAACAGCAGTGGTATCAGTACTGCACAGGTGTAACATCACGGGAAATGAGCAGTCTGACGCAAATATTTGGCGGCGTCAGTGTTGTTTATGTGGGTTATACAGTCCTTATAACAAATAGGGTAATCAATGTAGACTGAGTTCCAATCAGCACTGGGCGTTAAGCTTACATGACGCCCTCCTGCACAAGGGATATAACAAGACGATCCCTGACCACAGCGTCAGTGTTTTGTTGCCTATTATTCAACGTTTAGTCATGCGTGGCAAAACAGTTTATGCAGGCCAATGAAGTAGCTATAGCTAACCTTCACCGATGGGCTATATTCACAACGTAGCCAAACACACGGGTGATTTCGACAACAATTTTGATAGGACTCGCATGAATACCATCGAGAATTTCCCAAGTCACCCCCAAAAGGCAATCAGAGCTGGGAACGGATCGATCAACGCAACGACATACACATACCGCGGAGAATCTCTGTATGGCATTTTGTTTAAATTAACTATGCGGACACGTATGAGAAAATGAGAGTCTCTCTTGGAATATATGCAAAAACGACGCAGTATGCACCTGTTGTCATAACACTGCCACAATTATGCATAAGAGTATTTATCAGATTATGCGTTTCCAATCAGAATGTGACAGATTGGCATAAAGAGTATATCAAGGTCATTCATCCATCCACTAATTGTTTGTTTTTGGGGGTCCTATAGGCAAGAGTCACTAGGAACGGTGGGTTGTTAATCAAATAATGAAATTATCCTGTAAAACGCTAGTTAGTTTACTGATTAGAACGCTTTAGGCAATATTAACTACCAAAGACTCACCACAGCAGTGTGTGCAGTTAAGCCCATAAAGAAGTATAATTACATCAGCAGTAAACATCAACAGGTAATTTTCAGTCTATACGTTGCTAACAACCAGAATAATGGCGAACGAATTCGACGAATGACAAATCGGGCATGTGGGACCTGGAAATTATCACACAAGTCAGTGAGGTTATGGGTGAATCCATCAGCATATGCTCATTATTTCTTATATTTCCAGATTTATTGGCGCTGTACAGGTAGTGATTGGGATTTATTTATTGGTGTAGCGGTGATATTGCGCAAATGTCATTCCGGAAGCGTCACAGAAGAAAGTAAAGGGTGTTTTGCGATGACGAAGATGAAGACAAATGACGGCAGCATAGAAAGAAGCACAATCAGTGACCTGTAAATCTGTCTCTCTCTTTATACACATTATTCATTACATTATTCAACAACGCATCTCCACTTTGTCCTATCTTCTGCCGTCCCCTTCAGCTTGAACCACGAATGCCCACAATATCACATCTCCCCCTCACACGATCTCCTCCAAGTCACTTTCACACTGACGACCCACTTCGCTTTCCATTCGGGTTCCACTCGATGGCCTGTTGCGCGATGTCGTTCGATGGCCTCCTCAAAGTTGACCTAATCCATCTCTTTTTTCACCCACATATTTGTTGAGCGATCAGGTTGGTTTGTCCCCAGTCAGTTTCTTGTTGACCGGTAATAAAGTCACAAAAGAATCCACTGTATTTAGCATAACTTAAATCATGCCCAAAATGGCATACTTTAGCACAGACAGAACAGACACCATGCGATTCTTGTAGATTACACGTGAAACAATGATACCAATGTTGGTCAACGAACATTTTTTGAGTTGCAACAAAAGAGCATATTGAATCATTAATTAATGGACCAGGAAATGAATGGTACACGTCATCTTCTAGACAGCCATCATCATCATAATCATCACTTATATCTGTAGCATCAGACAGTTGGTCAATATCTGAAATCATCCGATCTGTTAAATTTGGTTTCGATAATTGATCTGTCCCAGTGGAACCGTCCAGAAAGTGCAGATGGGATGTTGTATTCCATAAGGTCATTTGACTCCACTTCTATGAATGAAAAGGAAAATAAAACGAAAGTCAGATGATAGCCAATATAGAATTACAATTTGAATCTTTTCAACTAAATTTATGGAATTTAAACAGGTACTTTCATGTTCACAAAGCAGATATGGCTTCTATTTCTAACACGCTTATTATTATTAATATTCCCTTGGGTTCCAACTGGAACATAGGGCTTCAACAGCACATCTCCACTTGGTTCTATTCTCTGCTGTCCACTTCAGCTGGTTAGCCACGCGATTACTCATCATCTCTAATCCGCAACATATCACCCTAGGACGACCTACTAATAGTTTCCCATTAGGGTTCCACTTGAGTGGCTGTCTGCATTGTGCGCGATGTCAATCAGCAGTCTCCTCAGCCTATGCCCAATCCATCTCCGTTTTCTCCTACATATCTGTTGAGCAATTGGCTCTTGGTTGGTTATTTGCCAGCCACAGTTTCCTGGAGCTAATCCCTTCTGGCCAACCATCTGATCTCCAGTATGGAGACAGGGAAGGTAGCTGTTGATAAAGTCTGCAACAGGCCGAGTTTCTGACTGATTGACTTCAAATCTGTGTTAAAAATCCGAATCTTGTCCTAATGCTGGGTGTAGAAGATTTCCAAACTGGTGTCAGATTGATGAAGCGTATCTTGCCTTCCCGATTGTGGCTGGTTTTGATATCTTCATCCGTTCCGCCTGTGGTTGAAACTGTGCTTCCTAGTTAAGTGAGGGAAGTAACCTTATTCAGATCTCTCCCGCTATGGTGATTGGTGCTGGTTGTTGCTGTTGGTGGTGGTGGTTGGTTATCTTCATCACCTCCGTCTTCTCTATGTTCACCGGGAGTCCTGTCATCGCCACCTGACTCCTCAACCAGTTTGTTGGTTTTTGCACGTAAGTCTTCTGGTTTGCGTGATATTAGACATACATCATCTGCGAAATCCAGATCTTCTAGAGTCTTCTTATTGGTGGTTCAGCGTATTCCTGTCTCCTCGCTCCCAACGCACAGTCTGACGCATAATCCAGTCCACCATCATTAAGAATATCATCGTGGGTGATAATAGGCAGACAGTCCTGTCTTACCCCCGTAATCACTTTGAACGCCTCGCTAAGTTTTCCGTTGTGGATCCCCTGACAAATGGCATCATCATACAGCCAGCTGTTGAATGAGGTTGATAGAGACTCGATCACTGCATGCCGCGGTGTTGATGTAGTTTCCGAACAAATTCTCGGTCAACGCCCTCTGTAGAAGGCCTTCGCGAAGTGAATGAAGTTGAGGTAGAGGTTTGACTGCCATTCTATGCTTTGTTCTGTGATGGTGATGCGTAGAGTTGCAATTTGATTTGCCTTTCCTGAATCCAGATTGTTCTGGCTGGTGGGATGGAGTTCTGAATCCAGTGCATCTTTTATTCTCTCCAGGATGACACAGCGTGGATAACAGCACAATTCGACGCCTGTTCCTTCAGAGTGAGGCGTTAGTTACTCCTCTTTGACAGCTTGAAGAGGTAGCTGGCCTTTCTTCCAATCAGTAAGCACCTTTCCCTACTTCAGCACCTTTTGCAGCAATGGCGTGAGAACATCTGGCGTATTCTCTGGGTCCGTTTTCAGTGCTTCGAGGAGGGGAATTCCATCTGGCCTCGCTGCCTTCCCGGACTCCAGTATCTTGATCGCATTCACGATTTCTTCCTTCGTCGGAGGAGTGGTGTCCCTGGCAGGCAGTTGTGTGCGTGCTGTTGGTGGTCGTGTATTTCTGGACGAGTTGCAGGTGATGGTCGATTCAAGAGTCCTTTGAAGTGATCAGCCCATTGTTTTATTTCTCCTTCTCCTTGGTCATCAGGTTCCCTTGAACATCTTTTATTGGTTTCATCATCTGGACAGAGAGAGACCTGCTTATCTGATATGATGTTCTGATCTCTCTTTCACCTGCGGTCTCTTCTGCTTCAGTTACTGGCCGGTTTGTCATATAATTGCCTTTCGTCCTTCCTAGCACTCTTCTTCACTTCTCTCTTTATTCAGTGCAGTGTACATAGAGATCAGCTTCTCCTTCTGTCTTCCATCTTTGCACTGAGTTATCTTCTCTCTCACCTTCCTCCTCTCCTGAATCACCTTTCAGGTCGGTGTCCGTCGAGAACCATTCCTTTTTCTTGTCACCCCTTTCTTCGCAGAACATTTGTACACTTTACCTTGAAAATCACCTTCACAGATTTCCAATGTTCTTCCACACATGTGTCCTCACTGGTACCAAGTACTGTCTCCGACTTTGCTTCTATCTGATCTGTTGTTTAAGGTATCCAGTGCAGTTTTGTCTTTCAGTTTCTGAATATTGAAAATGAATTGCGGCCTGTCCCCATTTGTTTTCATGGATTTCAGATTCACCTTGAAGGCTCCTTGAACTAGATGATGGTCTGAGTCCACATCTTTTCCCCTTCTCGACTTTGTGTCCAGCAGACTGCGTCTCCGCTTCCTCGAACGACATTGGGATGAAATCTATGTGGTTTATGGTGTGTCCATCAGGTGAAATCTATGGTGCTCTGGGCATATTCTAGTGCTTCTACATGCTGCCTTCAATCACTAAATCATTGAAAGCGCAGAATTCTGAGAATAATTCTCTGTTCTCATTCATTTCGCTGAGCCAGAGCCTCTCGACCCATGATGAGTTTTCTTCCTGTATTATCGGCTCCCAGTTAGGCTTGCATTCATATTGCCCATGAGGATTTGGATGTCACCATTTGGGATGTTGTCCATTACTGTTTGTAGTCATTTGTGAAAATCCCCCGTCTTTTCTTGTTCCGCGTTGTCTGCAGGTGCATTTGATAATTGTGACTTTCCTTCATTTTGAGTTGAATCATGCTGTCATAATCCTGGATGAAATCGCTTCTCACTGCACTTGGGCTTTGGCTGCCGCTGGCGACATCATGATAGACACTCACTGCCTCAGTGTGTTCATTGTTGTCATCTAGGTGACTAGACCGGAGTAGATTACTGACTCTCCAGTTGACTGTTTTGATAATCCACATCCATTCTATCTGCTCTCTCATATTCCTAGCACTACTATACCATATTGTTGCATTTCTTTGGGTACCTGGGCAATCTTCCCAGTCTCGTATATTGTACATAAATTTTACGTCCCCATTCTTATTCTTGCCTTCATCGAGAGAATACACATCGGCTGACTGGCTTCCTGAAGGCTGGCTTTCACCAGCCCACTGTGTCATTTCGCCTCTCCGATTCCAGCGAAGAATAAGTTTGTTTTTATAAATAAATGAATAAATTCACTCTCATAGTACAGTACATGAGGGACGCCAGTTTACAGGCATCATCAAATTGTTACAGAAATAGAACCATATAATTCAATCACAATTTACAGGCAGTAGCAAGATATGCTTTACATGTTCGCTGGAGATTATACATACACTTGATAAATGTTAATCCCAGTAGTATAAAACAGCCTTTTCACTTATATACAATCATTTCTGTGCACAGTTGGAAAAATCTGCTAGATTGTCAGTGAGTGCAACACATCAGTAAATACAGAAGTATTGTCTTCGCATTAACAAAAAGCCGAGGTCTTTGGTGGATGGATTGTAAGTGCCTGGGAAAAAAATAAAGCTTGAAGTCAATTTTCATACATAACTTTGTTGTGTGCAGAATCCTTGAATTATAGTTCATTGGTGTGTTATTTTGAAATCAGTGATATGTTTATCTCATTTGATCTGCAATGTCATTGTTGGAAGTAAATATACATTAGCTTTAGACGCATTAATTAATGGATTTCTACTGCTCGTGGGTATTTTCTTAGCGTGAGGAAGGTTTATGAATTTCAGCTTTTCCGATAGGAGTTGAGAATAATTACTGCTCAGCAACATTATGGATATAAGTTCATCACATTATCTTAGGAAAGGTGGGTTGTAGTTGGTGAGGTATATATGGTGCCCAACGAGCGTACATCTGTCCATGTGATGTTGTGGTTAGTTATACCTTTTTCATGTTGTCCGTTTATGTCCATTTTACTCCACTTATTGTGTTTGGTAGAAGTTTTACAAACGAAATGTCTTGTCTATTTGAGGGTACGTATCTTAACCGTTAATGTTTTATCTAGAGTTATAAATATAGGCGAAAAACAACAGGTGTAGTATTTAAGCTTATAAATTAAATGGACTTATAATTTCGGAGGCTATCAGATAGGAACTACTATCGTTTGCAAACTCTTGTAGTTTTTCATTAAGCACCTTTTTGAAGGAGGCCAATGTACTTGCTTGACGCATTTCCATTGGCAGTTTATTACATATCTGTGCATATCTAATCAAGTAAAGCTTTTGCCTGGTGGCTGTTTTACATTGTTCGATAGCTGTTGCACCCTTAGTGCGACTTAGTTTGTAGCCTTTGTCATCTGAAAGTCGAGTGCCATTAGTAGAGGTAAAAACTAAGTGGTTTAGAAGCTTATAGTAAAGTGTTAAGTTTAGTCTCAGGCGTCTTAGCCATAGTGTTTCTAGTCCTAGGGTATCACATCTAGTGGAGTAGTTCGCAACATTTTAGGTTCCGAGTAATTTTAACTTGAAGTACCTCTGCACTCCCTCGACTTTCAATTTGTCCTCTATGCGTATGCTACTATACATGAATGAACAGTAATCAAATAAAGGACGCACACAAACCTTGTACAACAGAATTCTAGACTCATTTCTGTAGAAGTTCCTGAGTAGAAAGCCGATAAGTCTGCGTGACTTTGATACTTGTTTGGAGATATGTCCAGAAAATAATAAGTCATGTGAATATTTCAGTCCTAGGTCCAGTACAGATATTTTTCATATTCTAATTTCCTTCTTGTGCGCTGAAATTTCTGTGGAAGTTTGATTAATTTGGTGGTGTAGGTTTGCTAGCCCCACGCCCAACCCTCCCTCTTTACACGGGCTTGGTACCGGGAAGAAAACTAGCAAGCCAGTTAACTAGGCGAGGTTATATATATTGTATAGAAGCCGTGATTCCCATTGATATACTA